AAATATTTTTTATTGAGTTTAATTGCAAATTGGTCATGAACTCGATACACTAATGATAAAACACTACTAATAGACTTCATTTTATTGAATGACACACTTCATCTCATAGAAATCATCATACATGACTACTTCAAATTCTATCTATATGTTTTCAATTCCACTTTTTTTCACCCAAATCACGTGTGAACGATCCACGTGTCATGGTAGACATGAAGGATTAAGAAAATCGCGTTTTTTATAACAGTACTGGTTTTGGAAAATTTGGTACCGCATCTTATTCTGCGTAGTACATGATTGCAATCGAATAGTACCTACTTTTTTGAAGAAATTTTGATTATTTCAATTATGCTCAACGTATACAAAACATAGTACCAGTCATAGTGTGAGGCAGTGCCACATTATGGAGAGTTAGTACCAGATATCCTGTCCATAGTACCACTTGTAATGAACACATAAGAAGACCGAATTTCGGTTGAAAATGATGTTTATACGACTCATAATCACTCTGGCATTAGTTTATATAAGATTTTAAATGTTTTTGATTGAGTTTAATCGCAAATTGGTCATGAACTCGATACACTAATGAAAAAACACTACTACTAGACTTCATTTCATTGAATGACGCACTTCATCTCATAGAAATCATCATACATGACTACTTCAAATTCTATCTATATATTTTCAATTCCACTTTTTTTCATCCAAATCACGTGTGAACGATCCACGTGTCATTGTAGACATGAAGGATTAAAGAAATCGCGTTGTTGATAATAGTACCGATTTTGGGAAATATGGTACCGCATTTTATTCTGTGTGGTACCTAATTTCGATCAAATAGTACCTACTTTTTTGAAGAAAAATTCATTTTTTCAATTCTGCTCAACATTTACAAAACGTAGTACCAGTCGTAGTGTGAGGCAGTACCACATTAATGAGAGTTAGTACAAGATATCATGTCCATAGTACCACTTCTAATGAACACATAAGAAGACTGAGCTTCGGTCGAAAATGATGTTTATACGACTCATAATCACTCTGGCATTAGTGTATAGAAGATTTTAAATGTTTATGATTGAGTTTAATCGCAAATTGGTCATGAACTCGATACACTAATGAGAAAACACTAATAATAGACTTCATTTCATTGAATGACACACTTCATCTCATAGAAATCATCATACATGACTACTTCAAATCCTATCTATATGTTTTCAATTTCACTTTTTTTCATCCAAATCACGTGTGAAGGATCCATGTGTCATGGTAGACATGAAGGATTAAAGAAATTGCGTTTTTTTATAATAGTACGAGTTTTGGGATATATAGTACCGCATCCTATTCTGCGTGGTACCTGATTTTGATCGAATAGTACTTACTTTTTTTAAGAAAAATTAATTATTTCAATTCTGCTCAACATTTACAAAACGTAGTACCAGTCATAGTGTGAGGC